TTTTATAAGAATATGCAAAACGTGCCTGAACAAAAATTTAAGAAAACAGTAAGAAAAGCCATATTGTTTAGTTACAATATTTATTACAATAATGAACTTGAACTGAAGAAAAATAATGGATGACATGATGTTTTACAGTAACCTTATTGATAATGTTGCTGTGTTATGTTCTCCTATGAAGCAGTTTTTAATTTTGGCTTGTGGTTCACTCATTCATATCTCTATAGATCTTAGTAGGACAGGAGACAAAATCAATTGGTTAAATGTGTTTTGAACACTATGCTTGCCATATCACTCATTTGTTTGCAAAGATGGAAAGCTCAGATCATTAAGAATGTCACCTAAAGAATTACTATCAGTGCCTTCTTGGTGGAGAGACTGATGGATTAACCTTTCTCTCCTTTGAAATTAGTGATCAATGAGTCTTAGTGTCAAAATATTGTAGAAAAAAGTGTCCACATCCTTTTCAAATAGCAATAAATGTTTATTAAAGTCTATTCTGCATGCTAATGCTTGTAATCATTTCATTATAGTATTTCTTAGATCTTGCTTAGGTCTAAAAACATTCTATGGCAAAAATTAACTGGGGTATATCATATAGAACTGAATGTTCTGTAATTAAAGCTCCTCAAAAAAATCCTTATGACCGAATAGCTTAACTTGAAAATTAAAGCTCTAATTGTACTTTTTTTAAAATGTAATAACTATATGTTTTGTATTACATATACACATGTGTGGGAAAATCAACATACACTATAATCATGGTAGATTTAAAGTCACCATGGTAGATTTAAAGTCATCATGGTAGATTTAAAGTAGATTTAAAGTCACCCCCTGGAGTCATTGATGTAGCAGATTAACAGAAAATGCTACTCTGAATTATGTAAAAAAGCTAACTACATTTTAATTTTAAAATTTAGATTTTTATCATAGTTTTCACCATTTAATTTTTAAAATGGGCCTTTCAATATGATTAAGTTACTATTATTCTTGGATACCTCTCTGATATAAAAGTTACCCGTTTAAGAAAAGCTGAAGTGATCTTGCAGGTTTTAAGAGAATCTCCTTCAGTTTAACATTGTACTTTCTGAGTAAAGGGACAAAAATGTCTCCAACGCAATAATTGTTCACTGCAAGAGGCAGAGAGAAATTGGTAATAATATTCAGCAATTTCAACCCTTCAGTATTTGCTTGTGCTCTCTCAACAAACATGAATGATTACAGTACAACTTAGCTAAGGTAGCCTCTACAGATGATTGATAGGATGTTAATCAAAAGATGCATATCAGCTTCAGAATTTGTTCACAAGCTTTCTTCTAATCGCTGATTTCATGTTCAGTGAGCTCTTTGCCAGTTTGTTCAATTTATTCTTCAGTGCACAAGCCATTCATCATGCTTGCAGTAGCCATAGGACAGAATAAGTGTAACTAATCTCTTTGAGCTATTAAAATACAATATCAGCCCATGCACATGCACATGCACATGCACATGTGTGTTTAGGAATTTGTGTGTGTGAATTAATCTATTTCAAAGAAAACTGCTCATTAATAAAAATTATATAGGACTATTTTTCCTTCTCTCATTCACCTGATTGGATCTAGTTACATGAGATGAAAATAAGAAATTGTTCTTAGTAACTTAAGGAATATTAGATTATACTAAAATAAGACTATTCTTAAAATGGTTTAAGGAACACTTATGTTTATGAAACTGTCATCCTAAATCTCAGCAACATAGTCAGACAAAAGCACAGAGAAGTCATTCAGAAAATTTCATTGTTGATTAGGACTGCAACTGCAACTCAGTTATTCTCTGTTGTGCTCTGATCTCCTAATCATTGCTACATAGTGTCAGTTGAATGTCTAGAAATTGATTCCAGTATAGTAATATACTTAGTAATAATAGTAAGAACTGCTTATAATATTATGGTTCACCAATTGCTATTGCCTCTCTTAGACCTTATTACTAAAGGGACTCTTCAACTTAGATTTTCTGGAAGTAAATCCTGCATGATTAACATCATTTTATCTTAGACTATATAGCCTACAGCAGCTGATTTTTATCAGTTTTCACTTGATTCTATCTTTTAATTTACAAGTTGGATATACAAATTATTTTGAATTTGACACAGATTGTTACAACATTATTCAGGGTAGTCAAGTATTATTCTAACAATCCCAGGAGGACAAGCATTCCTGTTTCAAATTTGGAATCGTTATTGTAAGCCATTCAGTCCGACCCTTGACCATTCTATGGATCAGTACTCTCCATGTGCATCCAGCAGATACTAGGGCAGCCCCCTTCTCCTTTTTCCACTGATCACTCCCAGCATGATTTATTTTTCGAGTGGGTCAGCTTGCATGACATGACCAAAGTATGACAGCCTTGTCTGGCGATCGTGGATTCAAGTGATATTTTTAGTGAAGTTCGGCCTAGGACTTGTTTATTATTTTGCAGTCCATGGGATGCTTAATAATTGCCTCTAGCACCACAATTCAAAGGCATCCACCCTTCTCTTATCTGCCTTTTTCAGAGATCAAGTTTTGCAACCATAAGTAGCAATTGGAAAAATTATTGCATTAACTAATCTGCATTTGGTTGTAAGCCTGATGTCTTTACTCTTCCAGATGTTATTCACGCCAAACATTGCAGTTTTTCCAAGGGACTATATGCTTTTTAGAGACCAGGAAGATTAATTCCTTTACTGTTTTGATGGTCTCATTGTCAATCTGCACTTCAATCTGTGTGTTCTTCTCAGTTGTCCTTATCTTTGTTTTCTTGATATTAAGGTGCGCTCCAAATTTTTCATTTTCATCTTTGACTCTCAGGATTAACCACTGCAGGTCCTCCCTGCTTTCTGCAGCAATGTTGAATCATATGCATATAGGAAATTGTTGATATTCCTAACATTAGATTCCTCCAAATATGCATCTATCTCTGTGTACATGTTGAACAGTATAAATGACAGGCTGCAACCTTGCCGAATTGCCTTTTTCAATTCAGAATCATTTTGTGTCTCCATGTTCCATTCTTAAAGTACAATGATTGGATGAGCTGGATGTGGTGTAGTGATATTCTCAGTTCTTTGAGGCAGTTCCAGAGTTTGCAATGGTCAGCACAGTTGAAGGCTTCTACCTAGTCAATGAAGCACATGTAGACGTCTTTTTGGCATTCCTTTGTTTTTTCCATCATCCAGTGGAGACTGACAATATGATCATGCATTCCTTTCCGAAATCCTGCTTGTACATCAGGCATTTTTCTGTTGGCGGTTGGATTCAAATGTTGCTGGTTTATCTTCAAGAGAGTTTTACTCATGTATGGTATCAAGGTTATGATTCAATGGTTGTAATAGTATCACCTTCCTTTGGTATTGGAATAAATATTGATCTTTTCCATTCTTTTGGCCACTGACCAGACTGTCATACACTCTGGCAAAACGCTATCAGTATTTTTGTTGGCAGTGGTCTCAGCAATTCTGCAGGAATTCCATCAACTTCTGGGGCTTTGTGATTAGGCAACTGGTTGAATGTCCACACTGCTTTCTCCTCCAGAATATCTGCTTCCATTTCTAGTAGATAAGATTTTCCATTTATGGCTTGGCCTTGTTTTTCATTTGTGTAAAATTGTTCTGCTTATTCCCCCCATCATGCAATTCCTGCCCATCATGCCCTGTGACCATAGTCTTTCTTGCCATAAAGTGATTTCTGGCCTTCACGTAAGTGAAATACTCTCTTGTATGATTCCTCATTGCTGCTTCCTCCAGTTTCTTACATTGCTCAGCCTAGTACTTTTCCTTGTCTTTTCTTGCCTCTCTCTGGAATTTTGCACTCAAATCCACACATTTCTTCCATTCTTCTTCTTCACCCAGGCTTTTGCTTTCCTCCTATCTTCTACAGTCTCTGTTGTAGCTTCTGATATCCAGTTGGCCAATTTAGTTGATTTCTTGTATGTAATACAAGAACTTCAGTGTTCTGTTGTCTTTCTGTGATGTAATTCAAATCATTTCTCAACTTCAACTGCACATGCTGGGGGAATCTTCTCAATGTCAAATTTCTGAATCATGGGTGGTCATTCAAATTTGGAATACTTTTGGTAAAATTGAAGTAGCTAGAAGCCACTTGTGAAATTTCAAACTTGCACCATTTCAAATTTTGCACACTACTATTCCTGACAATCTATATATCCAGGATGTTATTTACTCCCTGATCATATTAATTGTCACTTTAGGAGGTTTTAGGTAAGCTCTTAACTAGAGGAAGGGAAGACTCTTTAAAATCAACAGGAAGTAAATTAGACTCAGGGAAGTTTTAAAAATATTTTGTATTAAAGGGAGAGAAAAACCACACATAGGTATTTCTCAAAATATTTTGTTTGGAAGAGGACAAAAAAAAAAAAAAACACCCACATGCAGAAGTAATGTGTTTTCATTAGGTGCCTTAGGGGAACATTTGATATATTAATTATTCAGAATAAAAATAATTATCGTATCTTTTTTTTTTTCCATCTGTGGAAATAAAGCATGACAGGTATACAGGAGGTCCTGTATGTGGGGAGTATGAATAATAAACTAACAGAATTTATGTTGTGTGTCCAGTGAAAGGAGATGGATGAGTTTGAAATATCTCAAATAAAAGTGGATTACAATATTTTTTTTTTAGAAAAAAGTTATCTACCACTTTTAGAATTCACCAGGTTTGAAAAAAATAATTTAATCGATTTACATGCTATCTGCACTTAGTATAGGACTAAGTTTTTGACAATGTCAAATCAAGATCTAACAGTCTAACAGGTCAGAGCTCCACATGTGAACTAGTATCTAACTTTAATTCCTCACTTTCAAAAATATTCAGTGATAACTTCCATATAAAGCTGGTACATGATTTAAAATATGCATCGTGACATCTCTGATTGAAAGCATCAGTTAAGGCAAGCCTGTAGTAATCTTGACTCAATTCCCTAAATGATTTTTACTTACTTCTATTTTCCCTGTCATAATGCAGCCCAGCGCTAAGTTTCGCATACCCTCCCACACCAATATCCCTCCAGCAGATGCATCAACAGATCATCAGTCGACAGCAAAATCTGAGTTCAGCCTTTGGACATAGTCCTCCACTCATCCATCCTGCTCCAACCTTTCCTACACAGAGGCCTATTCCCGGCATCCCTAATGTCTTGAATCCTGTTCAGGTCAGCTCAGGTCCTTCAGAGGCTGCACAGGTAAGGGAATGTAAGGAAAGATTTTTGCACCATACTGACTTGTCCACAGTAGTGATTAATCATTACAGCTCTTAGAACAGATTTGCTAACAAGTACCTTGGGGCTGCAATGTATGCAGTCTTTTATTATAAATTACCTAGAGTATATCATGCTTTTGAATTGATGGAGTGTTTTCCATCCCTTATAAATATTTCAGTAACTTTTAGATTCAGTGTATAGGAACTTAAGTTTCAGAATGTTCAGGCAAAGGACATTTGAACAGCAAAGGGATGAAATTTATACCCCTGCTGAAGAAGGTAAAAGACAAAAATCTCTCTAATTGTTGAATCAAAGATTATGACCAAGGATGCCATGAACATGTGCTAAGTGTTAAGAGACAGCAATTTCTCTCTTGCTTTATACTTCATGCTACACAGAATACTAAGCTAGGGAATTCTCAAATTTCAAGGAGTACCATCTGAAAATTTCAAGAGCCTATGTTAAATAGAAAAGAAGCAGACAATTTGAAAAAACATGGTGTGTGCCAATATAATAATTCCCAAATCAATGGACATGATATTCCATTCTCTGTGGAGGGATAAAGCTGTGTTAGCAAATTTGTAAGATTCTGCTATCTTCATTGAAAGATCCTATGTTAATTCATTGCAGATCATGACCATCCTAAACTAAGATACTCTAAAATTATAATAATATAATCCAGAACATATACTGAATAATATTTCTCTTTCTAGTAGAAAGAAATATATCTCTTTCTAGTAGAAAATAGCAAAATGCCTTTAGGTAAAAGGCAATGAAAAAGTAAATAATAAAGCATGTAAAATGTCATCCAGGCAAATATATGGAGACTACAATAATAAAGAAAGTTTTGTAAATAAACAGTTTATCCTTTTTTCTTGTGTTGTGCTGGTTTATCACTGAGTTCAGAAAAGTTTCAGTCATGTTTATTTTCTTATATAATATAATTATTTATATAATAATTTATATAAATTATATAATTTATATAAAGAAATTATATAAATTATTACATAGAATTCAATCAGGATGTTTTCTCTCTAAGTAAAAGCATTGTTGAGAAATTATAATTTTGAAAATGGAAGAGAAATCAAGAACATAACCTCAATCATAAAAATCTAAACTCAGTGAACTTTGGTAAAGTTTCTTTGAATATTCTGGATGTATTGAATTTTAATTCAAAGTCTACTTATATCTTTTGGATATAAATATGTGCTTCAGAGTAAGCCCACAAGTGAGTCTGCAGTGAGCAGCACAGGGGACCCAATGCATAACAAGCGTTCCAAGATAAAACCAGACGATGACCTCCCCAGCCCAGGAGCTGGAAGCATGCAGGTAAACTATGCTTTTATCTGTTGTAGGAAGAGGGCACATTTTGCATTAATTGTTTTTGTGAGTAATCTTTGCCAAAGCATACACTCTACATCTACTAATACTACTAGTCTTTGCATAACATTTAACAGTGATAGTTATGGGTTGGTTGATTAGGAAAAATTGAGTCCTGTAAAGGCTATCTCAAAACTCCAAGTTGCTTTGACTCCTACCAAATTTTAACAGTATCATTGCTGAAAATGAGGGGAGCAATCTTTCATTAGATTGAAGCTTGAAATACCCCAAAAGGGTAATGTATGTCCTGAAATTGAATTGTTTTTCTTTACGACTATCCTCAGTTTTTCTCTCTCTAAAATCTGAAAATCTCCTTGTTTGCATATTTGTTGCCCCTTCCCATAAAAAGACAATAAGCGAAGTTCTAGAAAGCTGCCTTTCTGTGGTCATGAATTTGTTCATAAATCTACCTCTGCGTAGGTGTTGTTTAGGAATCACTGCATTGAATTGTCAGTTTTATTCTGAGACATCAACATTTGCTTTAAATAGCAGTTCCAGTGGTAATAAAATTGATCAATTGAGATAACATGAACAATTGTTGAGGACAGATTGCACATAATTGATAACTTAAAAGCTGTGACTAAGGAGCTGGACTTGTTTTCTGAACAGTTTTCTTCATATCATGCCACGTAGCCAATACTGGTTTACATTTAAAATAGTTTCTTTTGTATAACAACTGATGGATCTAAAAGTATTGCTCTGTTTTACAGTTCTGTTAGCAAAGGTTAAAACTTTATCAGAAATGGTCTTTGTCTGAACAACAAGACAAATCTGTAACAGACTTTCTAATTTTTATTTTATTTTTATTTTATTTCAAAGTTGAGAAATTCCACATGGTTTGGGAGAAAGATTAAGGATTCTAGAGAAGTATTCTAAAATGTATCTTTTTCTTTTTTTAAGTCCCAATATTGGCTTGGTTATTTTACAATAATACTAGAAACATTGAATAAGTTAAGACCTAAGTGTTTGTTTTTTCATCTGCTTCCTTACTTCCGTGGCCCTGACAGGAACCACCGGAAGGAATGACCTCAGTAAAGGAGGAAGGGGAGAAAGATGAAAGCAAGCAAGAACCTGAAGTGGTCTATGAGACAAACTGCCATTGGGAAGGCTGTTCACGAGAGTTTGACATGCAGGAGCAACTAGTGCATGTAAGTTAATGGCATTCAGGAGCCGGCTTTGAGAACTATCTGACCTTTTCTAAAGGATCACGCTCTCTGACCCTTTGCTGAGTCAAGTTTCTTTGCAAACCACATTGCTGACTGGAGGCAGCTTATGGATTTCTGTGAATAAAGCAAAACTCCATGCTATAGTGTTTGACCTGTTCAGTCAGCTAAAGCTTAGTGTAAAATTCAATAAAGTCTTCAATAGAGAGTGTAATGGTTCTGATCCTATAAGCCATAAAATACTATTTTGAATTACAGACTTTGATAGTTATTGAGAAAGAATAAGCTGGGCATGAGTTGTTATTAACTTTTTTGCCAAGTTTGATGCCTCCAGTCCCTTCAAATTGGCCTGCAACAATAGAAACAAGAGATGGAGATTTTCGCCCTACAACTCTAGGATATTTGATGTACTTAATATATCAAACTTTTACTATTTTAACAAGGTGAAGTAAGTTATTTAGGGAAAAAATATATTGCTTTGGGGCTTTCCATTTTTGGGGGCTTTCCATAACATGACAGATGTTTTGTCCGGGGAGAAAGTACAGCATGTAACTTCAAAATGGTTTTCATAGATAGTAAGCACCTACAATAATTTTGAATGATTGTTTCAGATAGTAACCACCTATAATAGTTTTGATGAATACATGATTGCAAAATTATGATGTTTTGGTTGCATCCAGTATACTGCCAATCAGTCTTTATATCCAAATCAGAATGAATGGACATGCCATGAGTTCAGGTAGCAAAGACTTTAGCTTGATAGTTATTTATTAAACATTAGTAAATATAAAATTATTAATTGAAAAAAGAGGACAAAGTAATGACAAACCTGCAAGTCATGAGAAAGCTGAAAGAAATGAACCATATACAAGAAATAAAAAGGGAAAAGGATTTAATATTAACAATCTGCATTGTCAAAATATATCAAAATGTACTTTTTCCAGAACCACTGAAAGTTCATTACTTTGGGTAATTAACACAAACAATCCCAAATGAGATGTTTGGTTTTTTCCAGCTTTAACTAACCTCTTTGAATATATAAAAGTAGCAAAATTGGAATGAAAATTAGGACATCAGGTGATACTCCTCTCTTCTACACCATGAAAGAAACAATTGATGGATGGAAGTGATATATCTAACATTCATCTTCTCATAAGATCACATCAGTAATGGGTTATACCCAGTGGTGAGATTCAACCAGTTCGCACCACTTCAGATTGTTAACTTTCTGAGCAGTTTGGTGAACTGGTTGATGGAAGAAATCATTAGGGCAGAGAACCGGTTGTTAAATTATTTCAGTCCCACTACTGGTTATACCACCATGCATTGTTCATGCACAGTGCTTCTCTCAGTGTCAGAAATTTGGATGTCAGTTTTATTTACTTACTTTTTTCCATGTCCTTGTAATACCATTTAAAATATACATATTTCATATTGGGTTTGGACTGCTCTGGGTCTGAAATTCTTGTATATCCCGTGTTGTTTTCAGTTCCATTCAGGTTGGAATGGTTTTTTTTAAATTTTGAATTCTATCAATAGTTTGTAGAGCTACACAAATTTTCTGCATGCTTGCTCTCTTTCAGTACAGGTAGTCCCTGGCGGTTGTCCATTCTTTCAGCAATTATTGAAAGTTACAACGGGGCTGGAAAAAGGGACTAGTTGCTGAGGTTCTGGCCATTGCAGAAATCCCATGGTCATTTGATTATAATCTGTTTACTTGTGTGCCCAGTCTGTGATTGCAACATCCCAGGGAGCTGTGGTTCCATAAACTTATTGTAACATTCCTTCCAGCTTTCCAAAGTCAGTGGGGAAACCTGCTGGGAAGGTTGCAAATCATTCAAGTAAGCTCCTGCTTTTTCTTTATTCCTCCACTCATATACAGCCTCCAGAGGCCGTACCTGACTCCCCATATTTCACATGTGGCCTGTACCACTTCCCAGAACCTCCCACAACATGTGTGCAGCCTGTGCTGGCACTCCCTAGATTTTTCCTGGCCTCCTACGCGACATTGCTAGCCCTCCCAGCCACTATGACTCATATGCAGCCTGCACAACTCTTCTCATGCCCTTCCCTATCCCTCCAATCATCCACTCACTCCTTATTGGGTTTCTTCCCTCTTTCCACTTAACAACTGTGCATCTTGAGGATACAACATAAAACAATTTTATGTTGTAAAATTTTACAACAATAGCGATAGGCAATCTCAATTGCTGTTAGAATCCAACATGCACCTAGATTCAACCTTTACAGATTATAGAGCTGTAATAGTTTACTTTTAACTGCATTACATGATAGGTATGGTTCCATAGAAAGACATATATACTGTAGTTGATTTCTTACTGAATTTATCTCCAGACTAATTTGAATCTGTGTATCTAGTACTATAAGTTTTATATTATTATTTACAAGCAGTCTTAAATTAAACTTTAAGTATCTGCCTCATCGTGTTAACTGCTTATTAACAATATTTGGGGGCCTTTCTGGGAGATACTGACTAGGAATTCTAAAAGGATGCATTTGCAAAGATACATCATTAAATAAATGAAATATATCACCAGTGATTGCCTTGCCAAGAACATAAATATCAAATATTTATCATTGCCAGGGTATTTTCAACAAAATTTCACACAATTTGTAATTGACATTAATTTCCCAACTTCAGTTCTTGCAACCTTCAAGCAGCAGAGCTGTGTTTACTCTTTATAGCATATTCTAAAATGGTAGAAGACTATGGGTCTTGAACTCCAAGGCAGAAGAAGAGCACCAGACTAAGATCATAGTGGGTAATTTTGATTTTTAAGATAAGATTACTAGAACTTATCTCTTTAGACAATAGGAAATAGTAATTGTATTCATTGCTTTTGGAGAACTTGATTTTTAAAAACAGTGCTTAAAATGTAACCAGAATTTACCAGTTAGTACTGAATTACCCCAACACTTACTACTTTGAAGTACTTGAATTATTTATCAATGTAAAGTTAAGTAAAGTAGTAGTTCATTTTGATTGCCAAATGCTAATCAGAACCTAGTATAGTTAAAATGTTCATAAAGGATGCTCTGTGAAACACTGCATTAAATAGTTCAGATGGCCTGCTTATTTATAGCACCTGTCCATCCCTTCTTGCTACCATACACCCCCACCACCACCACCACTGCCACCAGCCTTCCTCTCTTTTACAGCTAATAGAAAGATTCATGATTCTTCATGGTTGTCTATCTAGTGTCTGACAGCACTGACTCCCCTTGCTAAAGCAACTCACTATCTATAATTGATATCCTTCTAAGGAATGGGGTGCTGACTGCAATTGACGGGCTTTGCTGAAAGCTCTTAAATCCTGACAAGTTCTGCCCTTGTTCTGGTTCAGTCACTGAGCTACACTGCTGGAATTCCTAGGTTATTTGAACTGTGAGCAAAAGAATAGCATGTGTTTCATATTAGCAAATCACAAAGCTGGAGAGTAGAATTATGACCTGGACTGCTGGATTTCCTGCCAATCTCATTTACAATGCATAAGGCTTCTAAAAAGATTACCTACTTGTACAACCACTGAAATGTCTTCCCTCCCTCCTTCCCTTCAAAGAAAATAACAAAAAATGCTGTATTGTTTAGATTCTGTTTGCTGAAGATCCTTTTATTATTCTGCTCTTTAATTAATTTATCTGCCCACAAGATACTAAATTCGGGAAGTTTGCTTTAAAAGATATGATATATTTAGGGAAAATAAGGGCAGAAAGGAAAGTTATTATTTAGTGTGAATAAAATGGCACTCAGAAAACTGAAACATTTTTCCTTGTCATTGTTGCTGGTATAGTATAATAGCATCTAATTTAAAACTAATCTGGAAAATGTATTATTCAAGGAGAATATACATGTTTTCCTTTATTTTTTCATATTCATGTGTCACAACAGTTCCTTACTTTGTGAAAGCTTGATTATGTATCATATTTAAGATCAAAAGAGTATTAATGACACAACTACAGAACTAATTCTATTTTTTTCTGAGATTTCAACAGAGAAATCAGATGATTCAAATTCAAATTCTGTTCTTGTTGCACAGAACTAATGATTCTATATTATGCACACCTATATTCACATCAGATACATCATTGAACATTTAATTAATGAAAGATGAGCATTTTTATAATACCTCTAATAATTCCTATATCGCATAGACCAAATTGGCAATACTTTGCTTTTTTTCTTGTTATATTACAATTGGTATCTTAATTTTTAAAAATCTGCTGCCTTATTAATTAGGTGTATAATGTCATTGATTAAGCTATATTAAGTTAATCATTTAATAATTACAGAATTTTGATTATGTAAAAGAAAATAATTTATTTTATTTATTTATTTGTCAAATACGTATTAGATAATATATATGTATAAGCATGAATTGAATACATAAAATAAATACAAATAAAGGGAACATTAGGACAGAAATGGTAGGCATGCTGGTGCACTTATGCATGCCCCTTACAGACATCTTAGGACTGTCTACAACAGTAGACAGTCTTAGGTTAAAATTTTGGGGGTTTTGGGATGAAACCACAGAATCAGGTAGTGCATTCCAGGCATTGACCACTGTTGCTGAAGTCATATTTTCTGCAGTCAAGTTTGGAGCAGTTCACTTTAAGTTTGTATCTATTGGACTTCCGGTGGCTCCGCGTTCCCCGAATGGACGCTCCTTCAGGAGCTCCAACCCCGTGATTCCGTTTGCCGCTAGAGCAGCGAAAATCAGCTGCTCTAGCGGCTCGAAACTCTCCCCCAGGGAAAAAGGGGGAGAGAAGAGCAGAAGGGTCTGGGTAGAGCTCCCCTAGACCCCCAGGCTTTTTTTTAAAGCCTGGGGTTTGCAGGGTGGGAGCTCCCTGAAAGCCCTTCAGTGCTCCGGATCCGGGACAATTCTGCTTTAAGCAGAACAAGAGGTTGCGACCACACCAGCAGCGCAATTTTAAGGATTATGAGAAAATTCGAATCTGGATGC